GCACCCCCAAGAAAACCCAAACTCCCCCCCGCCGCAGGGCGGCGGAGCGGCGGCCAGCAAGCGGGCTCGGGGGACAGCAAGGCTCGGCTCAGCTCGCCAGGCAGCAACGCACAATCACAGTATGTAATCAGCAATACGTAATTACAATTCTTTACAGTATACTGAGACCGGCCCGTCTCCTCTTAGAGGAGCTGCACTCGCGCTTCTCGAGGCAGTGATGGTGGCTGGCACATAAAACCATGCTGAGCAGTGTTTTCAGTACAAATTGTGAGATTTTCTGTGGTCAACAAGTGACCCAGTCATCTAAGGTGTCTGTGAAGAGCAGCTCACCTCGGCTACGTGTCACTTGGTCCAAGGCAGAAACACCTTGCTAAACCTGGTCAAAGCACTGCCACAAGACACCAATGCAGGGCAAAGCCACTAAGATCAAGGACATTGTGGAAACTCAACCTAAAAGTTCTAGGGGAAAACCGTTAAATAAAAATTTAAAAGATACACTAAAAATTACAACTAAATCAGTATTTTGGCAGGATGTACATGCTAGCAGACACCTGCCATCACTTAATGCTATACGCTCGTGCTAGGGCGAAGATGCATTTGAACTGAAGAACGATACAGTAGCAACCAAACACATGGACCCATTGCGCAACTGCAACTGCACTGCAAAGAAAACATTTACCACCACATGCAATAATAAATCTTAACATTTACTCTATAATGATGAAGATTTAAGATGCCTCTTAATACAGGGACAAAAAATTAAAGCGCTTATCTTGCAAAAGCATATTGCATATGAGATCAAAAGCAAACTTACTCTCTTCCTTCTCAATCGCCTATGATTTTATCGCGTAGAAGTGGAGAAAGTTTTTTATTAAGTCACATGAAGCCTTGTCTCGGCTCAACTGAAGCTACAGCACGCAGACAAGAGCGAGCGGTCAGGAAAGGGAAAACTAATTCAGGAGCGCTGCTAAGGCCAGCACATCCTTTCACGACAGCCTCAGCCCTTGCCCAGCGCTCTGCCTGCGAGGCTCACCCTCAACCAAGGCAGGGGCGAGGGAGCTCACTCCCCCTAACACGGAGCAACTGGTGTTTTGAGAGCAGAAAAATATTGTGCTATGCATGATGTCAACTTGATTTAGCGACTACCTACAGCAAGCTACTCAGCTAAAGCAAGCACGTTTTAAGTACTTTCTAGAGTATATTTCTAACTTGAAATAAAAGAGCAAAAGAAAGAAGTAGAAAAGTGCATTTAGTCTCTTACGCTTTATGACTGTACAGCGCATGCAAAACCGCTTCCCCCACGTCCCCCTGAAGACGCCAAGGCTGGCGAGAAAACAAAACAATACAGAACATATCCTGTTTAACCCCATTCCTAGTCTCCTCCTGTCAAACACTCTGCTTTTCCTTGCTCTTGGTTTCTGAAAATAGACTTTCACTGACATTTTACAAATAAGGGGTTTGGGAGGGGGGGGTTAACTCATGCCTTGTCCCTTGCAAGCGTGCATCGCCTAACCGATCGCCCAGGGGCGAGGGAGCCCACGTAGGATTTCCAAGAAGTACTCAGTACTGGTTTAGTGCAAGGCCAAAGTAAGGATCATTTCTGATAACTGGTATTTATGAATTTATCACCTGCAACTTTAGACTGACACTCTCACTCCTGAGAAAACTGCACTGCTTCCAGGGACCACCAATGAGCGCAGCAGCTTCAGGAAGTACTGCAGTTATATTCAAAGAGCGCCAAAAGGACTATAACCAGCCAGGTCAGAGGAAGGTAAAGGGTGACCCTGCACCAAAGGCAGCCTCCAAAGCAACAGGGAAAACCAGGCAGATGGGAGACACGGCCAGAGGTCGTGCGAGACTTGCAGGCACCTGCTGGATATGTCCCACTTTGACTGCAGGCTGCATCAAGGAGCCACCGCTGCCTTGGGGGAACGGCCACTGGAGCCACCCGCACTTCAAACAGAGAAATACGCTTTTGCAGTAACACCTGCAATTGCGCATCCTTATACACACACAACTGTACAGTTAATTACACACGCATTTGTAGTTTGGTCAATTCTAGTCCATTGGGCATACCACAATTCTTTTTTTTTTTTTTTAAATAGACCTTCCTGTACAGCAACAAAGCATTCATTCACAAAATCAGGACGCTGCTACTATTTACTTCGGAAGTTGCAGCAGAGTCCCAGTCCTGCATTCCCAAAAATATGGTACCTACCTGCCACTGGGTCTTAATGGGATTCTGCTTTACTTTACACCCAGTGTAACACTTGCCCTTCCTACGGATCACTCATTAGGCAGCGGTATCCCCCGTGCACGGGTAGGCATAGCGCACAGTTTTCGGTCTGGTCAAGTAGCCACTGTATTGTTTGGCTAAGTGAATCTTCTATAGATTGGATCTTCTTGTCAACAAAGCAACCAAAGATATTTTGTATTCAGTCTTCTTGCTGAGGGATATCAAGGCAAATTTTGTACTCTCAACACTTTTATGTATCAGTTCAAAAAAAAAAAAAAACCACACAACCTGCATCCCATCCAAGTAAAACTTGGTTTGAAACTTGCCCGTGGTTCAGGTTGCAGCATTCATTTGCAACTAGGCAAGCACAAAGGCAGCTCATACAAGGCACATAACATGCAGTAGCAAATCCTCCCATCTTGGACGCTTTCTCCCATGCTGCCTCCTGCATGGCTTTGGTCACCCACAGTTCCCTCGCTCAAGGCAAAGCATCAGCGCTCCCTCTCTAGCCTCAGGAACAACCCCCAGGACCACCAGCAGCAGCCCTCGCTCCTGCTGCTCCTCCACCCCTTCATCTCTCTGCTTTCCCTTTCCTATTCCAGGCTACTAGGGAGAACATCAAGAGAGGCTGAAGCACTTGACTCATCACCCAAGCGCTTGGAGGTCAGCGCACCTGGGGTCTCAGCTTCCTCCTGAGCATGCACTGCCCAGGCCAGGCCCAGCGGGTCAGCAAGGGCTGCTGCTGAGCTCCAGCCACCAGACAGCATGGGAAGCGCTTTAAAAGCGCCTTGCATGAGCAAACATAGTCCAAACACTAAGAGGCAGCGGGGTTACTTCACACAATTTTGGAAAAAATCCTTTCTGTGTATTTGGAACAATATGGTAACTGGAAAACAAGATCATCTATCTTGCAAACCCGCTTTGCATATGAATAGCGATACTAGTCATCAAATGCCTTAGAAGTATTTTAAAACTATGCTTCACTACTCAAATTAAACACTTATACCCCAGTATTTCATATTCTTGCCCTGTAATGGGGATTATTAGCTATATATTGAGATGTGCAGTCACCTGGGAGCAAGGATACCTGCACCTGCTCTTGCTCATGCACAGGACAGACAAGTTCTTCGATGATCTGCAGCAAGTGATGAGCTCTGACCTGGCGCCGTCGCAGGGTCTGAGGGCGCAGCTTGCTATCAGAACACCTACCACCTCTGCCAACCAGGGCCAACACAGTTGCACATATTTAACTTTCAGTACATGCGCAGGTCGCTGTTTTTAATGGGTTTACTCTCATTCCTGAAAGAACTACCTGGACCTTTGCAGGAAAATTCCTTTTAAACAGTAAGTCAAAGCTGCATGATCACCTGAAAAAAAAAAAAAAACAAACATATAGAAGGCAGATCATCCCACCCTGAAGTAACACATCAATCCTATCAGTGAACGCATGTTTTATTGAAAGTGTGGCATGAAAAAACTTTACTGTGAATATATAAATTTATAAACAGCTCTTGATGTATCTGAGAGACTTCTGGCAAGGTTTACCACGTAATGCAATTCATAGTATATTCTAATTTAGGAATGTTTGCTCAATGTTTTTATATCAATTTAAAAAAAGTTGTTGAACTTTCAAATCATGAATGATCATTTTTTGTTAATTATAAAATATCATGAATTTGCAACCTTTTTATTCTAGTACTCAAGGAACTGCCAGCTATTTAAAACTGTACCTTTATCATTATTCACAAATTTTAACAAAAATAAATACAACTTTGAGGTTGTCTTTGGCATGTCGTAATTCAAGGCAATAGTATCTTTAGCAGCACAGTGCAAAGAAAAACAACATACCGTACCGTACAATGCACTACTAGATTCAGCCTTACAAGGAGAAGGGAACGTAGTACAATGCAAACTTTAATGTCAATATATACAGAGCTTTAAAGAAAACATTTTTTAAAATTAATGAAATAAATACAATATGATACAAAATCCACAATATGCTTAGAGAAAGAAATGACAGTTACAATATCTGTTAACGGGGACCTTTTGTATAGTTTCATCTTTGAAGTACCTCAGAGAGCATGTAATTCATTGCACACTGTTTTCAATTAATGCCCTTTCATATATTGAGATTTATAGCCAGTCACGTGCCAGAATAGTTTTAGCTCTAATCAAGAGTATCAGTGCAAGAATGCCAAAGTGCTTGGGATATTATGACAATGCAATTACTTAGCAAATGCTGCTCATAGCCCTAATGCAACACACACAAAATAGGAACACTTTGTCCTGCAAAGGAGATCCACCTGGAGCATTTTTTCAGTTCACGCGCACACTCCCAAACAAACCAGGATTCAATGTTAATTATTCAAACCCCCTATTGGCAATAAGTTATTTCCCAAATCTTAATAATTAAGAGACATAAGCAAGTAAAGATTCTCTAAAGCTTTCAAAATTAGAATTTGAGAAAATTTGCTCATATTTAGGAAATATTAAAACCTCAAGAAAACCAGTAATTGATTAATCTAGGGGGATTTCTACTTAGACAAGTTACGGTAACATTCAACTCAGCTTCAGCTACACACAGCCTTTTTTCTTAATTTGTATTCATCCTTCCAGTTCCAAAGGAAAAATGCAGGCTTATCAAAAATAACAAGAAAATAATTTGGGGAGTAAACATTTGGGAAAAAAAATACACTGATGTAAGGATAAACAGTATTCAGAATGTACTAAAGAGGTGTTAATGGAGAAGGATGGTATGTTACCAGTGATAGCATATGCATGTTACCAATAGATAGCAATACTCAAGAACATTTTTGAATCAATTTTCAGGGAGCTGCTTTTTTTTTTTTTTTTTAAAAACAAAAAGAGCTCCCACAGCATTACATAAGGACTTTATCCTACCTAATGGCTTAAGAATCAGGCTTCTGAAAACTTTGAGAAAGAAAAATCTGTTCCTTTCATCCTCCTTTCCCTCCCACAAACATTTGCAAACTTTTAATTCTGGATAGAACTGAAAAACTTAAGTGCTACAGAAGTACCTACAATCCCGTATTTGCATTCATGTCTTAGCCTAATTTCATTGATACAAAGCTGGACAACTACTATGGTATTATGTAATTCATTTAAACTCCACTCTTGCAAGCTATCCTACCTTTTCACTGCTACACTCGAGGACAGAGAGAAGAGTACTAGATATAGCAATCTGTCACTGTAAATTACCTGTTTACAAGTGTATTCCAAAGCAATTTCCAATTGTTAAAATTTGCCAGAAATAGTTTTAACTTTTTGATATTTTATGTATGTTGAAGAAACTGATCAAAGTTTAGCTTTGGAAAACAATAAAACATGGAAGACTTAATTTGACACAACTGACCTGGTGACATTCTGGGTGCTTTCTCTAAATGCAAGCAGAACATTTAAACCATACAACACAGGCCTCAATTAGACAGTATGCTTAGACCACCTACACCTTAGCCTCTTGGTGCGGTCAAAAGGAATTTACTACTTTCAAGCATAACGGAAAAAATACTCAACACACTAACAGCAGCGCTCAGATCGCAAAAGCCACACAACAGTGGCTTAAATCATCGCGCTTGTGCTAACGCTCTCCAATGTGGACACTCTTCGTTAAGCACCGCTGGCTGATGTTGATGCCACTGCATAGCTTTTGACTGTAATACAGGAATACAATAGAGTTCTTAATTTGAACATAACCGCGGTATCCACAGGGCAAAATAATCAAAAGTGTCAGCTGCCTGCTCCAGCTATAGTCAATGTCAGTGGGAATCTCTGCACTCTAGTGAGAGCCATATCAAGCTGTGTGTGAACTTGAGAACTAGCACTTACTTGCAATGGACACTACCAAAATTAATCAGAGGAGATTTTGCTGGCAGTAGCAGAGGCCATACCTAGAACATTAGATCCCTTAAGACAGTAATTAGTTCTCTGCCAACTCCTCTAAATAAGTAGCACGCCTTCCCAATTTCTTTGCAAGTGTAAGTAAAAATGCAATTTTTCTAGATTTAAAATTAGTATCATAGTAAGATGGCAACTAGTTTGGAATCTTTAACTGTGCAGAGACCGTAAGAAAGTGAAACAAATTACACTAACCTTTTCCTCCCGTCAAGAGCATATTCAAATAGACGTAGTTCCATTTCAAGTGCTTAACTGATTACTCAGGAGCAGATCATACTACTTTTAATATAACCGCTTGATTGAACAAAAGCTATGTTTGAAAAATAAGATGAGAAATATGAATGGAATTCCAGAAGAAATATGAATGAGATGATCATTAAACACTAGAGTAACAGTAGGCTGCAAGTGACAGTAGAACTCTTCCGTATTCCTGTATATCCAAAATATTCCAAGACTGACATGCTGAAATACCTGTAGCAAATGAAACTTTTCCCCAAAATTAAGCACCAAGATTGGTATACCAAGTACACTCATCTTTTCAGATATAACAGAGATGTTCGACTATGTTTTCCTTCTGATAAGACAAAACTTTGTAATGTTGCAGTCACCAAAACCTTGCTTTTGTTCCAGGAGTACCACTTACACTAAAGGCTGGTAATTATATAAAAAACAAAACAAAAACCAAAAAACCCAAAAAACCACAGCAAGAATAACTTTACAGAAGATGCTTTAAATTCTGTGCTAACAATCAGAGCATCCACCCTCTTCGTTCATTTTTCCTCTTACCACCTCTGTTTTGCACACTGAGAAGAACTTAAGTATCTTCAGCTGCTTACAACTGCTTTTGTGCAAAATGCTTCTAAGGTGCTTATAACGTGGTGCTTCTGAGCAAGCTAAAAAATACCAGTGTAAACAGTTAAATGATTCATGAATAAAGCCATTAAAGACCAGCTGCTACCTTATGGGAAAGCTGAAGACTATTCAAGTTTGACCTTTTAGTTGTGTTCTACTCCTTGCATTACCTCTACCCCCAAACCAGTTTATTAAACATTTCAGCCTGCATTATACCTTGACCTTGGCCTAGGGCTCCATTTCCACCACTCTGGCTTTTTCTTTGAGGGAACTCAAATTCTTCTGGCAATCATTTGTAAATTTACAAACAAAATTACACTGATAGGCTGTTGATAAGAGGTTTACACACATTCTTGCACACAAAGGTTTCTAGTGATGAAGAGAAGGATGAAACAACTATGTAAGACGCAGGTTTCGTTCTGAACAATAAGCTTTCTACGTAGCAGCTGTGTTCTGTGATAACTTTCCACCATTTCAAACAGGCACCTCTAGATTAGGCACAAACGGCCCCTAAAGCTTCCAACACCTATCGAACGCTCAAGAAATTTAGTATGGGGTATGTTCTGCGTGATACAAATAGCACACCTATGTTTGCCATATTCATTAAGTCTCACTTCTACATATATCCATACCTATTTGGCCAGATAATTTCCACCTTCCCTCACCACAGTAAGAGAAAGCAGCTTATCTAATAGTACTTCCAATGCCACCAAGTACTTCACAGGTATAAGCAAAAACCAGCCAGCATCCTCTGTATTTTAAGATCTGAGTTTCTGCTGCTGCTCTTGGGAGAATTTTGGCCTTACTACCAAAAGCTTTATTTTTTTCCCCGTCTTAAAATGCAAAGTTATACCACCACAGCTGTCTTATAATTGGCTACAAAAGGAATCTGGGACAGAAATTCAATGATGGCAAATCAATCTGAACTACATTTGATTTTTGGTCGCTTGGATTCTCTAACTGTTCACAATCTAACTGTTGGTCACTAACATACTTACCTAATATTTTAAATGTGCATCATCCTACTATGTCAGTACAATTGTACAGTAACGTCTAAAACTTGTGAAAACGCTTTAAGCTCATTATCTCTGAATGTACTAGTTCCTGGTCTACTAGCAGATGCAAGTCACCACTGGTTTTGAGTCAGAAAACCTCAAGATGATTCTGGCCCTGAGATTCGCTTTCTCTCTAACACAGCATTTAGAAACAGCTAAAGTCCTAACATCAAGACAGAGAGAGAGAGAGAGAGACAGACAGACAGACAGACAGACAGAGAGAGTGAGTGCTGGCAACAGGATATTTTCAGTATCTTGCCCAGGACTGTGAAATCTCTCTGGTCATAATTCCCTTGACTGGGCAGACTGCAAGTCTTATTTATTTTCCCAAGCTACCCCTACAGTTAGGCAAATAGGATTTTGCATTTATGTTCTGTAATATTTGTACATGCGGCTAGAGATTCTGAGAGAAGCAGTGTTCCAGAAAAAAATCAAATAAATAAAAAATAAAATCCATGGGCCAAGTTTGCTATAATAAAGTGTCAGTTTGCCTCATATGGCAACCCAAATTAATATTGGATGTAGCCAGCAGCAATGACTGCCAGAGTAGCTGTAACATAGTCATTGTACAAATGGACAGGCAGTATAATCAACAAAACACACGGGGCTGCACAGTGTTGTCTTGAAGTGGTACCAATATTACTTAGATCCTTAATTTTGACAATTTACACACATACCTACTTTCTCCAGCTCAGTGCAGAACACAGTACCGTTCACGATAATTGCTAAAAACGCTCATCACCTCATAGGAGGCCATTTGTTGACGAGTATTTCCCCCGGGCCACAAGCGATTAAATTAAATTTATGGGTAAAGTGCAAAGATTTACACATCCTTTTTGTTCATATTTTCATATAAACTTATCAGTTATTGGCACCATGCAAACACAGACCTCCCAAGTTAGCACTAATGCATTTAACACTGGCACAATACATTGAACAAGTTAAATGAATTAAGTTGAATGAATTAAGTGCCCAATTACAAAATAAAGAATTTGTCCTTCACAGCCAATTCTAAAGGTGTAAAGAAAAAAAACTGACACTGACACTTTTTTTTATGTACAACTTGGTCATTGGCAACGGTCCCCTAAACCATTTTTATGAATCCAGCAGAACTATACAGAATGAGAAATATTTGCAACAGATCTCGAAGGACACTGTAGAGAAATTCATTGTGGTGTACCTGATAGTTAACTTAATTTAACAGATACGACCTGAAAAACAACACAGTATGAACCTGTGGATTTTTTTTTTTTCTTTCTAAAAAAAGGACTTTTACAGAATTCAAGTAGTGTAGCAGGAAATCGTAGATGCCTTTTGATCACAGGTCAGGCGACATAGAGCCACTTATTGGATTTTCCCCTTGCTTCTGTTTGCTAAGGTGTCCCAGTGGATCTACAAGTCTGTTGATGTTAGCTTTTTCATGCTCCGTCGCTGAGCTAAACTTGAGGCTGCAACAGGCTCTAACACTGGCTGAAATGTCTTGTGATTCAGTGCAGAATATGTGGCAGCCATGGCTCCCTAGAGAACAATAAAATATATAAAGGCTGTAAAAATCATTTTTATCAGGAAATAAAGCAACCGAATATTAAATTCTTGATGAACTCTAAGAGAAAACACAGAACTTAACAGGTTAGAAATTTTTTCTAAGATTTGTTTTGAAAGAACATTCATTGCTGAATCCTTCTGGTCTCTAAGCATGGGTGTCTGACATTCCTTTTTATTCCCTCTATATTTCTTTCACATACCCTAGATGGAGCAGTAACCTTTTAATGTGGGTGAGAATTACTATCTTCTAAACAATCTTAGCATCAATTTATCAAAATCAGCCACTTCACTGGACATTCAGGTCCTGACTTATCAGCATGACAGAATTAAGATTAGCTATAACAGGTCCTCGTTTCTGAATCCAATAAAACTGAAGAAATCAATGTGAGGAAAACATGATACAAGACAGTCATTAGACTCAAATCCTAAATAATTTCTTGAATATGAACACCTGGAGATCTATAGAACTCTCAGTTTTGGGTAACTTTCTTAACAGGTTCTCATATGGCCTAAGCTACTTTACTCTTTGAAAACAGAAAAAAAACAGTAAAATCTTTTCCCTTCAACATAGCGGGGGGGGGAACGTTCCCTGAAAATTTATCAGCTTACATAACTTAAATGAGTATACATTTACAAGTGAACAGAAAACTAATTTCAATAAATGAGTTCTGCCTGTAATTCTGAATGTGACTCAATTCACTGCATGTTGAGTTATCTCCTTATCCATTGCCTGTGACTGGGAGGACCTAGAAACAAATTTAAACAAAGTAAATTATATTTAGGGAGGAATTAATGAAAAACAGCCAACGTTTGAGCTGTGATTAATCTTCGTTCTTATTAGTCACAATATTGACTAGAGAGACTGCAAATGCACCGATCGCTCTGTTCACGGCTGCATCCAAGAGAACGCAACGCAATCTTTTGCGTCAGAGAAGCGTTTTTGGCAGCACCAGTTGGCTATTCTGGCATTAGAAAGCATCAAGGAATTTGAACATAAATAAGCTGGAGGAACTTCAAGAAGAACAGCTACTATCCATACTACTTGCACTTTTCTTCACAACCTAGGTAAGGCTCCAATCCCACAAAGTTAAGGCAAAAGCAACTTCTTCACACAAGGAAATAGTTTGTTAGATAAGCATATATATTTCATATTTTTTCCCCTGCATTACAAGGAAGTGAACATCAGCCTATTAATCCTCTGGCATCAATGCAACCACATAAAGGACAACTTCACACAAAGTAATTACATTAAAACAGATGCATCCCTTAACGGAAATGTCCTAGTGCTATATAAGCACTCTTTGCAACATCTCCCTCCCTCATTAATCCATATTTACAGCTTCAGGCAGAAAGTGAAGAACAATATTACACCCAACTGAGATCAGAACGGTAATTTGGCAATGCTAGTTACTAGAGTCGGGGCAGGGGAGGGCAGAGAGGGTATCTTTCCACAACTGCAAACTAAATTTCTAAGTAGCAAGAGGAGGGCACAGGGGAAAGAGAGCTGGGTTGTTTTACCTTTACTAGATGTGGTGCATCTTGCCTGTTTAGCTGATAATGAGGCAACTGATCCCTACAGGCTATCCATGAATGTTTTAATACTTGCTCTGCTGTATACCTCTGATGGGGATCTACATGAAGCATATGTGATAACAAGTCCTAGATAAAAGTGGAAAATACACATATTATTCAGTTAAAATAATCTTACCTCAAATTTTAAAGCATGAATTACGGTCAACAATGGAAAAATAGCCTATGTGGCAGGGATTAACACAATGCAAACACACACACAAAATCAACAGATAAAGTGGTTCATTCTGTGCCTTGACACTGCAGAAGCCTGAAAACAATGTGTTGTACTATTTAATCAGTTTAACAGAGCAAGCCTTTATTGTAAAGAGACTTACTATTGTTTGTGTTTCATATTTCAGTTTGTTTATAATTGATACCATCTCTAAAAAAATTGATACCATCTAACATGATGCCAGGCTAGAAATCCTAATTATTAACATCCAGCAGAAAGATTTTACGAAAGAAAGTTATTACTTGCAAACACCCCTCCACAACCCTCGTCTACACTTCATGTCTTATGCTTATATAGTACAAATCTAATTCACATATGGTGATATACAATTGAAGATTTTTTCCTTCAAGAAGCTATACGAAGATTAAAACCAAACAGAAATGAATACTTATTGTTGCCTGTTTGGAAGCATTAGTAATAAGCTATTCATTTCAAAGTTAGTCAGAAGGAGAGCTGTATGGGAAGGGCACAGAAGAGAAACAGGAATAGCTTGAAGGAAAACAAAAAGTGAACAAGCCGACCAAATGTCCCCTTTCTGTTACGTAAAAGTTAAGCATTCATAAATACCCAGAAATTAAGTATTTGCACCAAGACAGAATCAGCCAGCAAGTATTCTGAACCCCTGGAATTGAAATGAACAAATTCTGCAGTTCCAAAGGATCAGGAAAAGATTTAATATTAATCTCAATATATATAAAAGGTAAAACCAGTGACTAAGATACCTACAGACCAGACCAACATAAAACCCAGAACACACGCAGTAACTGATGCGTGATGCAGTCTTTAAATAAAAAGACAGCAGCATAACCATGCTGATCAAATTTTTGGCAAAAAGTCTGAATATATTTGGTTGTTAAAGTACTAGTCTATTTGCTGAAAGTAATAGCACCAGTAGACATACTGTAAAGCACCTGAATTTAGTGCTTTAGCATTTATAAAAACTGTACTACAAAAAAATTCACGTATTTAATGGAAAACTGGTTAGCTATTAGTCCTAACAAACTGTAAAAATATGTCATCCACTGACAGGATTTGTAAGGAACCCCACAAACACCTGGCCTTTGTCCAGTAAAAACAACGCATTAAAAAAATACTAATGAACAGAAAGGCCTACACTGGCACCTATCCTATTTGAAGTCTTGATCATTGGCCTGCAGGAGGCAACAGAGTGCACTCTCATCAAGTTTGCAGGTGACATCAAACTAGAGGGGAGTAGCTGATACATTCAAAGGCAAGGCTGTCATTCAAAGGGACCTAGACAGGCTGCAGGAATGGACCAAAAGAAGCCTTATGAAATTCAACAAGGACAAGTGCAGAGTCCTGCACTCGGGAAGGGGGAAAAGCTTTGCCAAAATACAGGCTGGGGACTGACTGGCTGGGGAGCAGCTTTGCTGAAAAGGATGTCTTGGTAGGCAGCGAGCTGAACTTGAGCTAGCAGTTTGCCCTGCCATCAAAGGCAGCTGGCAGCATCCTGGGCTGAAGCACAGCAAGTAGACCGAGGGAAGCAATTATCTTCCTTTAGCCAGCGTGGTCAAAGCACTAGAGACAGGACACAAACTGAAGCAGAGAAGTTACAGCATGAAATTAGGAAAAGTCTTTTTCACCATTAGGACAGTCAAGCATAGGAAAAGGCTGCCCAGACAGTTTGCACAGGCTCCATCCCTGAAGGCTTTCAAAATCAAACTCGATAAAGTCCTGAGCAGCTGTGATCTCACAGCTGACCCTGCTCTGAACAGGAGGTTGGACTAAATTACCCTTACTGCAATGAAGCTTGCAGATAATAAATAGTAAACAGCTGTATTAGACGAGGCTATTTTATAAAGTTAGCTACATGCTCATTTGAATTCTACAAAAAAAGGGGAAGGGAAAAAGAATACATTTACACCTTTGCTGCATCTGAAACAGTATCCCAGTTGCCTCCACTTAAAGAGAATTTTCCACTGCCTATCCGTACCAGAATCTCCTCAGGAGTATCATTAGGACCATTGGCAAATGGAGTATAGCTATTAAAAAAGAAGAGGAAAGAAAAAAAAGAAATACACGTTATACAAAATAAGAAACAAGAAACAGGTAAAAACCTCATAAATCATTCTACCTAGATATCCCACTGCTGACAGAAAAACACTACGTACTATATTAATACTTGTTATATTAGCTTTTCATCTTTGAAACTATTTTTTTCCATAATTGTGGTTATACAGACAGAATAAACTGGAAGTGCAAACTAAAAAGATGTTTTAGGTTAACAATATTATAATAATGCATTCTAACCACTGCAGACTATCTAATAATTGGAAGCGATTTATAAACAAAAGTTATGCGAGATTGCCAGAGTATATCAAGTACTACAAACCTAGAAGAGTACCCTAACAAAATGGCCTAATAAAGTTGGAGTAATTTAGTGTTTGAGGTTACACGCATGCATATGCATTTAATTAGAGAATGAGCACAACAGGCATGCAAATGCATGTCTGATTTGGGAAAAAAATAGAAGAAAATATTCTGGTTAGTTTTTTTCTTAAGCGAGTTTGAGAGGCATAAACCACAAGGTTGTTGGTTTTGGAGGCTTTTAATAGCTTACAGGATTTCCTGTAAGTTCTGGCTATTTTCTACAAAACCTACTGTAAAGAACACAAAAGAATTAAATTAGCAAATCTGAAAACCTATCTTAAGGACTTAAATACATCTTTTAACAATGCCAGAAGTGTTATGATGCCTTGGTATCGTCTGTGGTCATAGGCTAGTACCAAGTCCAAACTAACTATTGAAAAAAAAGAAAAGAAAAAACAACCTTACTCACATTAAGCAGTTACATTGTAAGACCCTTTAGATTTCAAATTACCATGACAGCAATAATAAAGCTCAGTGCATTGTATCTTAGCACTTTGAAAGCTCTGCATAAAACAAAGATCAATCATAACAATCAGCAAAGGTTTAGGAACCATTCCAACTAGTTTAATTCTAGTACTTCAGCTGATGAACTTAACAGGGAACAAAAAGGAAAGAGCTGAATACATGCTGGACCATCTCTCCCCCATACTTTTGACTCGTCATACATTACTGACTGAACAAAAGGTTTCTCAAGTGTGCAGGCAGTATACTGCCTCACATCTGCATGCCTGGAGATGAATCATGCAGAAAACTGCATTTTCATGGCAAAACTAGTGGTGATGGTGATTTTACATGGAAAAGTACAATATGATCAGGAAGTGACAAGACAAATAGCATTTATCTATAAGACAAAAGGTCTGTTCATTTTTGTTGGACAAAACAGAATTTAGTGGAAGACTGATAAAGGTATATATTCTGTAAGTACTTCACAGTGATTAGTGAGAGTTTCTTAGAGCTTCAGTGGATGACCAAGGACTGGATGTTCAGAGGTTACAGTTCAGTGGTTCCTGTAAGAGGGCCACAGGTCAAGCCTGTGGAAGGAGATACAAGGCGGCGGACTACAGGGGAACTGGGACAGGGAGAACAAGAAGCAGAAGAAGAAAGAAGAAAACCACTGCATATTTTCACAGAGTAAGTTCTCTTCCCTAGACTGGGGAAAGGCTTTGACATTCCCTGGTCATGTATCATAGGAGAGAGAGGCCTTGAACTTACATGGTAGATAAGCCTAGTATATGCCTACACTTATAAACTCACAGGTTCCTCTTCCACCTCAGAGTGTCATTCCACATCCAAATCAGCGATGCAGTATCTTATAATTTTAATAAAACACATGGATTCATGCAGCATGCTGGAATTTTACATAAACACGTGGAAAAAAGAAATATTTCTCACCCTGCCAACATTGTGTAAAGAAGAACACCCAAGCTCCATATGTCACAAGCAGCATCATACCCCTGTCGCATGAGAACCTATAAAACAAAGAGCTGTTGAAGTTCTCATCTATAAAAACACCCCTACCTCTACACAGGCAACTTAAGGAAGGATAAGTCAACATCAGGATAGTTTCAGAGGTTTGATCATCTGTTGCTGAATATATGGGTTGCAGCAACTATTGACAGTATTTTGCGTTCCCAAAACATGATCTCTTAAGTTTCTCAGTAGGCTTGCATCTTATTTTTAAAGGTAGATTTTGCTGTTCTTAAAGCAGGTTTATTATAAACACATGCACCAGTCCGTTTTTAACGTATTTAAGGAAAACTAGCAGAGTTTTTTTTTTTTTTTTTTTAAAACAGTGCTAAAGTTTAATTACTTGATGCATCAAAAACAGAATAGAGAAAACACATGACAGCTTAAGATACCTCTGGTGCCACAAAGTTTGCAGTGTAGCAAGGAGTCAGAAGTAGTCCATTTTCTCCTCGAAGTTGTTTTGCAAATCCAAAATCACAAATCCTGATAGAATCAGCGTTATTTGAATCATCCGTATATAAAATATTACTAGGTTTAAGGTCCCGATGCACTACCTTTAAACAAAGAAAAATGTTAACGTCTGTCATTTCAAAGCTGCTTGTATATATGTTTATACATATTTTACAATTCATAAAAACTACTCTAGTTTACTATACTTATTAACTGTTCTACACAGTTGCATCACTTTTTCTTCCAAGTAAAGACAGGAACTCTATTTTAAGCAATCTCATTAAAGAAAAAAAGTCCACTGGCTTACAATGCATCTGGAACAAACATAAGCAACGTCCACACAAGCAGAACAAATATCTGCAGTTTCATAAACTGTAAAAGTAGAGCTGAAACGGTTGCCAGAATAACAGGATGGGTTATGTCATCCACCTGTGTTTTAAAATACTCACAAATCTCTTCTGCCTTAAAAATAAGCTAACTATAGCAAATGCTTTTTGTTATGTGTTTATTTTAAGAACTGTGAATGCAATCAGGTCATAAAAGAAAACACTCACTCCTTGGCAGTGCAGGTAGTCCACGGTCTTAGTAATAGTATATAATACAGCGCTAGCCTCTCGTTCGGAGAAAAACTTCTGCCTGAGAATTCGATCAAGCAGCTCTCCTCCTTTCATCAATTCAGTGACAAGGTATATGAATCTACCATCATCATACACCTGAGGAAATTTAACAAGCATATATATATACACACACACACACACATATATTCATCCAGATCCCCTATAATTATACATCCTGAAAAGTACAAAAACTACAGACTAGATTGTTGACCTATTCCCTTACACGAACACAAAGCACAAACACTAGGCGCTGTCAAATTTAATTCTGCAATTGAGGAGTCTCAAAGCATGAAATATAAAAAAGCTTTTATGTCATTCTGTGAGATGCTGAGATAATAGGTTACTGAATCATTGAGTCAGAATTCAATTTCTGCAGTCTAGGAACTTCTATTGAAAGAGGAGACTAGTTCTATTACTCCCTCTGCCTCTTCCCCTCCACAGACTATTTTTAGCTGCTGGCACTTTGCATATACATGACAATATGTGACTGCTTGTTCAGCATCAGATTACCAATACATTAGCTAGTAGCATTTGAAAGAAGAAATATGACATCTAAGAATTACATCATTTCTCACTCCAAGTTCATTAATTTTTTTTCAGTGCATCATTCTACTACTTTTCCAGATGCTTACAAGCCTTCAGAACGAGCACAACAAACAAGATCTGAATTTCAAACCCCAAAGTGACAAAAGAACTCCTGCAAGAGCAGGGTAGACAAAGAAAGCCTTAGAAAAGTAGTCAGTCACAGAATTTTCCTCCACTGGTCCCCCTGAAAGCCTTCTGCAGCTTGGCTTCAACACAGGGCAAAATGTGGTTTCCTAGTCTCATTTTCTTCCTCCCTTTTTGTGGGGGTGGGGCTATGGGGAAGGTTGGAGCAGGGAAGCTTAGGAAGATCAAAATAACCTTCAGAAAAGATTAACATCAAGATAACGGTATATTTTGAAACACCCAATACATTACTATGTGCAGTGTTCTCCCAATTTGTTTTACTAAGAAAGTGAAACTTGCAACCCCAATCCACTGCTCTACTTCTGTATTTAGACTGACGACTGTATAAAAAGAGGTGGTGGAGTAAAACAGGTACGTACATCTTTTAAAGTGATAATATTTGGATGTTGTCCATAACGCATCAAAATCTCGATTTCTTCTGAGGGATCCCTCTTACTTTTATCAATTATCTGTGAAATATAGTAACAGGAAAAATCTTGGCTAAGCAAAGTCTATTTCATGAAGAAAAATAATTTTTTATTTCTATTCTCACTTCAGCAAGAGAATCAAAAGTTTCAAGACATCACCTCTTCTTACTAATCATGACTAATTCATCTACTGACTTCACACCATACCATTTTATTCAATTCTTGCTTTATCTTATCAGTTAAGCCTGCATCGTTAATGCAGTCTGCTGCTCCAAAGGACAAGGAGATTCACTGGACTGTCTGAAGTGTCACTGCTTCCCCGCAGCCCAATTCCACCCTCATAGATCTCACTTATTTTACTTCAGGGGTGCTCAGCATTGTACTATACTTCCAGGCTTCAAGCTTATAAATTCGAAGCCAGAACGCTTCCTATAGTTGACACAAAGTTCTTCAGTGACAGAAGTTCACTCGCAAAAAGAGCGACTATGGAAGACAATACACAATTTCAATGAATGAAGAAAACCACGTTTTTCATTTCTTACAGCATATAAGCAGCTACAATAACTGAAAATTAGTGCATTTTTTAAAATTTATTAATCTACTGCATAATAATTTCAAAAGTGCCAAAATAAAATTTATTTCAAGTACCTTTACTGCAAACTCCATATTCGTAGCTATGTGTATACATCGCTTGCAAACGGAATAGGAACCAACACCAATATCTTCCTTCAGTTCATATACATCAGTAAACTGTGCGCTGTTTCCATGAAGTTGCTTAAAAAAAAAAAAAAACAAGCTGTCAACTAAAGCAACAAAACTCTGCCATATTACTATTTCCAGCAGCAAAAGTTTCTTCTGCTTGCCCACGTTTTTTCTTTTGAATTCTGCCTACAGAAAAATAGAAAAGTCTTTTTAAAACTGGAATAAAAACATCCTGTGAAACGATTTTAACAATACACATAATGGTCTTCACAACAAGACAGAAAACTAAATATTGGTTGATCTTTGGCATTTCAAAAGAGTTTACCAAAAAATAAGTTTTACCTGTACTATTGGTAGTATATTCGTGAGTGGTGAGATTTTATGATCTTCTACAGTAGTAGTTGCAACAAAACTAAATCCTTTGAAGAGCTGATGTGCATTTGCGCTAGGCGGGACTCCTGGAGAATCTAGTTGCATACACATTTGATTAGCATGAACTGATTGCATCCCAGCATAATTTTTTTTTTTTTTAAAACATTTACAACAGGTATGTTCAAAGCAACATTTCGAGGGAAGGCAGGCAAACAAAAAACAAAATTAGATATTGAATAAGATGTCTCTTCAGCCACCTTTCTGGCTTCTCTTTTTCAATATCATACACAAAATAAGAATTCCTGCATTTCATTTAAGACTTCAAAACACTAAAGAAGTTAAGGTATGAATAAATGTTTTAAGGAACACATTTATTGAAGCACAAACATCATTTATGAGAAAGAACTAAAGATCATAGCCTAACGTTGAAGAACGCCATAACAAAGAAGGGCGCCCACAAGTTTTGCTAACTAGAAATTTCAGCTTCAGTGATGTAAAGTGCAGGTATGGCAGAAGAGAGGTAATACAAGCATATTCAATTAATATTACTGAAAAATTAGAGCCATGTTTTCCCCAGATTATCTTACATACACCTCTGAAGTCACTGTTTGAAATTTCAGAGCGTAAATAAGCACATTTGGTAATTGTGTACTCTATCAGAACGTGAATTATAAACGCTCTCCAAACAAACACGATACCTAGTTTTAAATGTCTGATGCAGCAGCAAAGGCAGCACAAAAGAAAACCTGCAGTGAACTTAGAGGTGTTAACATTTATTGCTTACTGTGTCTTTGTTACAAGTTCAGTTACTGGGACATTTTCATATTGCAGTAATCTCTAAAAAGGATATTTCAAAGATAAATTTTGAAACTTATTTGAAGCCATTTGATACACCTTTGCAATTGACCCAACAGGTCAACTGATCAAACCAACACAGGTGACACTGCTACGCTTCCCCTTTCCCTTCCTTCTCTACTTTTACATCAACACCCCTCCTGCCTTTTCAACAGTAAAGTTAAATTCAGCATGCCTAGTGGGTGGAGGAAGAGCTCAATGAAAAATGTTCTATTATAATGTTAATTTAGGATTTAATTTTAACAATAATAATGAGTAGGCTCAAGGAAGTTATTTAGAGCTAGTCATTTTCAGAGGAATAGTGATCCTGAATAATTATCACTGTTGCAATCAAGCTTAGTTTACTTTTAGTATTAAATGGATTTTCTCCAGAAGCGCTGCACTGAAAAACTATTAGCACATGCCTAACTTTAGATCATAACTAGAAATTATATTCCAGTTATATGTATTTTTATTTTTTTTGGTGAACAGAAGTTTAGCAGGACATCCTACTCCATTAGGAAACAAAGAACAGGAACCCGCTGAGGGGAACACTCTCCTGCAAAGTACTGGAAATCTGTTGCAAGGTCTTTCTTCAAATTGAATCAGTGGCTTCTTCCTTTTGGCAAGCTTGATCTTTTTCACTGGCTGCCTATTTCTGGATTTCTTCATATCTCACCCACATAGTGCAATACAAAGGAAAAAAGTTGTGTTTGCTGCAATTCTGTTCTTCAGAAGGAAGAGGAAAAAGCGTAACAGGTTTCCTCTTTGGGGCCTACAAAGAGTAGGCATTGGTAACTATAAAGAGAGATGAAATACCACAAAGGAATCATGCAGACAAAAGGGAAGTTAATACTTGAGATTCCCATTCAACAAATTCTACTAGGGATTGACAATAAAAGGGAAGCCTGCACAAATTAAGACAAAATTAAGATTAAACCTATTCTCTGTGTAGCAGAATTGGACTTGTGCTTTACTTCCCTTGCTATTGCATGTAGGGAAGCCATACTTAAAAGAAAGAAAGAAATAAAGAAGTAGAAAAAAATATATTGTGATAAATGTCACAGTAACCTCTGTTAAGGTGGCCTTAAGTTTATATATTTCATCTTTAATTTCATATAAAATTCAAACATCAACCATTCTAATTTTGCATGTCAATCCACAGATACCAAACAAACAAAAATTAAACCTCTCTATCCATGAACCTCATCAATTCATAACCAGAATATGTACAATTACCTTTTGGTGTTTTTGCTGTGAATTCTGGATCAAAACAAAAGGTATCTTCTGGTTTTCCAGAAGCAGGTTTAAATGGGGGTTGAATTTCTCTTCTGAATAGTTTCTGAAGGAGGAGGACAAAGTCATAACAAAAAGTAAATGAAGCTTGCATCGGCAGTGAAACTTTGCCAAGCTAAAGGCAATTGAAATGTCGTTGTTACGTTATCTGCTACTTCAGAAAACTATTTTAATATACAGCGAGTAGAAGACACGCAAACACGTATGTAAAAAAGGACTTATTTTTATGTACCTTTATTTAGCATTTCAAATCAAAGGAAATGTTACCAAGCAAGTCAACATATGGCACTTTTTCCTTTCTGAATCTGCCTGATGTAACAGATCTATACTTTTTAAATTGCTGTAACAGGCTGCCACTTATCAGAGCCCTCACCAGCTCACCTTCAGCTTACTACAAAAAACATGGAACAGCTATTGTGGACCTTACCTTTTTGTCATCATTTCAGACCTGGGTCACTGCTATTTAGGAGAGTTTTCAGCATCCTGACAAGTTCACCCCAAGGGGAAGATACGAAATACAATCTTTACCCTTCTATTCTGTGAGAAACCAGTCCCACCAATTCTCAAAACTCTATTCCAGTGTTTTCCTAATCTACTCAGAGGTGGGGAGAGGGAGGGGGAAGATGAACAATCGCTCCTCTTCTTCCCCCCCCCCCCCCCCCCCCCTCCCCCCCCACCCCTTTACCCAATGTACTTTAGAAGAATGCTTTGCCTAAGAGGTATCAGCACACAAGTCCCATTTATAGTTTAGAAAGAGAAAATCTCCTGTCAAATAACATCATGAAAACCCTAGGTAAAGTTCAGGGCATTTGGGGAACATTTTCTTAGTACTTCTCTCAGCCTGACCTCTTTCTTACTGTACTTTTTATTTAATCTCCCTGCACAAGAACAAGCAACACATCTCAATCCTAAAAAAAAAAAATCAAAGAGGGACATGAATTCATTTCAAAGAAGTAATGAGATAAAATATGGAAGCAATCACTGACACTACCATAGCTAATTAAATACAAAGCACTGTCAAATACAGGAAAATAAAAGTCAGTGTTAAAAGTATAAAGCCTTTAAATTTTCCTGTTAATATTTATTTCAAATTCAGTCCCCTAGAATCAGTGAATAATCTGCAAGCATATTAACACAGTCTTCTTTTACTAAAAATACCTACATAAAATAGTAAAATTTTCCTATTACTTAATACTCTACTGGAATGAGGAATCTGTTAATGCTATATAAGCACAAGTTAGAGAAGTCCCCCTTCTCAGAAGTAAACATAAGAAATAAAGAGGAGGATAAAGACAATAGCATTTAAAGAAACAGTTAAGTACAATATGGGTTAGCGCTGTAGGCAGTCATGTCAGCACAGCAACATCCTATTCATTCCGTCTGGGGGTTTTTTGTAGGCATTATAGCAAACAGTTTTCAGAGTGCACTTGATATAGAGTATCTTGGTTTTGTGGATGTTTCTGAGCAACACATCTCAAAAGCTTGGAGAACCACAGAGGAAAAGCACCAAGATGCTTGTTACAAATGTAAACAAGCAAGCATAGACTTAGACTCCTGCTCATCTTAGAGCACCAGAGTCAATAATTAACTGCTGATAGACTATGACTGACGAGACAGGAATATGCTATGGCTCGCTACAGAGAAGTCCAAGAGAATCATAGTCACAGTGAGTTTTTGTGCCCTTACTCATACTAGATGGACACTTATTCAAAGAGAACCTGTTTCTTGCAGACTGATGCACACTGGGAAGGACAGCATCCTTTCCTGAATGCAAGGATTCTAACAGACAATGTTGCAACTCTGATTATTTAAAAAGTAAATGCACAATTTACAATTGCTTTAATACTCCTATATCACAAGCACTACAGCTCAAAAAGCTGAGTAACATTATAGTACAAGAGGGAACATAACACACAGCATTGCTGTGGAGCTTGTTGTGCCCTATTCAGATACAAATCCCTATATGCTCCAACATAGAACAGTTCTATCATTCACGTCATTCTTTACTTACATTCCAGTCAACAGTAGAAAAAAAAGGATGTCTCTTGATTTCTTCAACTCCATCTGAACCAGCTCCTAAACAACGAAAATACTGAATTTAACACACTTCTGGCTACAGTCTGTGAACGACTGCACTAAAAATTAACTTTTTCATTTTTTTTTTTTTTAAAAATCGCATAGACAGTTATTCAGGGTAACTGTAAAAACAGAAATATTCCAAGGATATAAAATACTTCAGTGTATGCCTCGCCAGGGAGGCAAAAAGCGCAAGAAGCTCAGAGTCACAGCATTGTTTTGCTGACACTGGCATCCATCTCCCTGCTGAGAGATGTTAACAGCTCAGTTGAAAACTGGGGCTATGATGAGCATGTAATTAAACATATTAAGTGCATGCAGTACACTCAAATCGAGTGGAGAGAAGTTCAATGAATTCCATTTTCTGAAAATCCAAGCAGTTTACAAGACAAAAAGAATGCATTTAAAAATCCTTTTAGAGAAGAATTTCAGCTGCTTAACCTGAAGTTTAAGTAAGGCTCTGCAGAATTCTGCATCCAGCACACGGAAGAGTCACTGGCCCACAAAAGTAATCTTTCATCAGCCAAATCCAGAAAGTCATGATCTAAGCTACAAACAAACGGTATCTAAAGTCAGGTCTTACTGACCACCAACACTGGAGCTTCAGAGTTTCCAGCAGCTATTTTCTGTAAACAATAAATTCAGTCAACATGTTTTTATTTCAAAGATGCAAATAAGTTAACCAACCTAATCTATTTGATGGGTTCCTTTTAAACAACATCCTCAGAAGACTTTGTGCCTCAGGGCTGAGGAACTGAGGCATTCCAAGTTTTGCTCTATGGAAAAACAGAAGCAGTCAAAGAAACGTATTTTCCTAAAAGTGGTCTATGTCACTTAAACTGCACAATTTGATCCATCAAGAATCCGTTCCAAAGTCTTGGACAGTATACACTTTTTAACTTGTTAGCTTTTCAGTTCCACATTTATACATGAGTAGTTTTCCAATTAAAAAATTGTATTTCCAAAGCTGTCTTCAGAACATCTGTGAGTTAAAGTACTTTTACCACAATCAAGTCCAGAATAGACTCACCAAATCCCCCAAACCTTCCATTTTTATTAGTCCCTGAGGTTCCTCCTGACGAAAGAGCCTCAATAAGTAGGTCTTTAGTAAAAGCTGTTCCTGGTGAACTTTACCAAATTTATTTTATGAAAAAATTACACTAAAGCCAGGAATTCACGTGCAGAACTCTAACACCCCTTAGAGCTCAAAAAGCGAGGCTGCGACATAATCCATCTTTCACAAGTAACATCACTACAAACTCGCCTTCCTGGTAAGTTCAAATTGCCTGATGTTGTTAAGAATAGAGCTTATCTCCTTCCCCAGATACCACCCCCTCAAAAGGCCCAAGGCTCGGTGTGTGATCTAAAGCACAAATAAAGACCAGTACCTGTTTGCCAAACGACTTCTCCTACTAATCACCAGCATACCCAGTTTGTCTCGTTAGACAGCTTGTGTCTTAACGGAGGTAATTGAATATGGAAAGTGTGAACACATAAGCACACTCTCCATATATACACTAAGCAACACATGACTAACTGCCGCTTCCAAAATAACGTATGCTGGAACAGCAGGAAGAAAGTAAAGCGGTATATAATGCTTTTCTAATCCACTGTACTGTTTTTATCTTTATTATACACCTACAGGGAAAAGGTACAAGTTTAACACTTTATGACTAAATTCCTGTAGATAGTCAGCAGTATTTCCATGATCTGGGATCCAAACCTGACTTGTGGGGGGAGTTTTTGACTTTTTTGTTTCTGTCCTAGTCTTAATGCGCTCCAGCACAAGTTGCAACAAACTTAAAACATGTTTAAAATTACATTTTTCTGACTTTCTAAAAAGTAAGAAAATATACTTACTTCAGTATCATATTCATAGTTTCATTTCGATCTTTACCTTGAAATGGTAGTGTACCAGTAAGCATTTCAAACTGAAAAGAACAAACGTTAATCTAAATCAACACTTTTTCCCCCAACTGCTCAAACAAAGCGTTAAGTACTATACTCCTCCATATCACTGCATTAGACATATTGAACTCTCAAGAGTTTATCAAAAAAATTCAAGTCAGAAATTCTGTTTTCATAGATAAAAAACAAGATAATAGGAATGGCAAAAGTAATGTAATGTTGAAGTAGGATGACTTTACAGTTATAACCTCAAAACTACTTAAACTAGAGAATCATAAAACCCCCCCTTATAACCTAGTTTCATATGCTGCTGTATTATGAAAGCAGCAAGAAGGAATTCTAAAACAATACTCTACTTTTAATTGTAACGTCAATACGTGTATTTCAGGCTGAAGGCCTAGTGTCAGGCTGTCTAACTTATGGCGTAAGTGCTAGCAATACTGGCTTATTTCACTATTCCACTCTAATGTCCATTCAACAGGCTTACTTTTACAAAAATGCAATTAAAACTCCATCAAAGCAAGCCTTTTGTTTTTTTTTTTTTCCTTTTACTGAAGTACCACACGAAATAAATATACAAACTAAAGTTTCACACCGATCCATGAAAATCGTTGGCTGCAACTGTTCTAAACTACCGAAAGAGCACACGCAGGCGCTAGAGAGCGCATCGAGAACCTCTGACGTTCCTAACAACACTCCTTCCAGGGCCATGCAGGTGCAAAGTAAATTTTGTTCGTATTGGTTCCTACTTCAGCAGCAATTCAGTTATCAGCTCGGCTCCTCTCTTTGCCCAGGCGCTGAACTCTTAATTAAATCTTGACAGGCTTATTCTAAGTAGGTTATTTAACATCCGCTTATCAACGCAGGGAATGCATTTCTGCCCTCTAAGCACAGGAAGCAAGGAAGCATACAGTACCATGAGCACACCAAAGGACCACCAGTCGGCACTCTGGTTGTGGCCTCGCCTGTTTACTACTTCAGGTGCCATGTATTCTACCGTACCACAGAAAGAATAGGCCTTCTTTTCTTGATCTACCGATTCTTTGCTGAGTCCGAAGTCTACAACAGCATCACAAGAACAGAGCAGGTAAAGAAGAACTTCAAAAACAAACAGTGCTGCATGCAGTACCGCAAAACGAAAGCGTGACTAGTGTCTGACGTCTGACATTGAGATGTCAGATGTCCTATATATCACACCACTCCAAGTCATATTAAATCGAGGATCGGCCATCAGAATTACTAGTCAAAATATAAGCAATTCAATAGTTAAAACTCTATACGTTTAGAACCTTAGGGTGCAAGTTCTCATTTTCTCTGTGTCCTAGAGCATGCTGCCCATTTTATTAATGCCAAAAAAAAGGATACAAATAAAAATGAGTTTCAAAGAGAACACAGTCTGCACAGTCTGGTATTATTGAGTGATGAATAAGTAAAATCAGACTAAAAATAATGTTGTTACATAAGGCAACACTGTTCTGCAACCTGAATCACAAGTTCAGTAAAGAAAAGTCTGACATGTCTACTCATTTTATCTCCAGAATATTTTTCTTTAATTAAAGAATGCTATGAGTACACAGGTCCTTGATGTTAACCCGATTCTCAATATAAAAGTCTCAAGGTTCCCCTTTTACAAAGGAAAAATGATTTCTGACAAATATTCTCAATTACTCTTTCCACTTTCAGAAGGAAGTGAGAATTTTAGGATTCCTCATTGACCCAGAAAGCTGCCTGAAAAGTGACTTCCAGAGATGCGGAAAACAAAAAAAAAAAAACACGCCCAAAAATAATATTTCATTTTAGTTCAAGTTGAATTCAATTAAAAAGTACCATGCAAAATTTAAAAAATTAGGTAGTTTATAAACAGCTGTAATCACCATTTCCTACACAGCCCCTTTTTAAGCATTTGTGGACAATAAAAATCCCACATCAGTAAAGTTTCTGCATGACACCAGGAAAAAGCAGTGATTTTATGCCTTGGTTTTGAATTTCAGCATCATTATTATTATTTTAAAAAAAAGAGGGGGGGGGAGAGAAAGTAATTCAGATGCTAAAGAAGTCTAACAGAATTTTTATCTAGAAACTGATCATTCTAATATGGGTTTAAACACTGTTTTTAAAGAATCTTCATAACTTGGAGAAAAAAAGAACCTATAATACTTATAAATAACAAATATCAGGTCACTCCATGTTAGAAAATATCTGGCCAATAATCAGCTGTCTACAAGTAAATCCACTGTGTATATATATTCCAAAAAGTTTGAGAGACTAAGTCGGATCTAACAGCAATACTTACACATCAGAGCACCCAATGCATTTTACAATATAAAAATACTACCTTAAATGCAATTTTAAGAATTCAGGAATTCACTATAATTTAATCTTTTCTCAAACACAGCATTCAGTCTTTTCAGTCTATTTGGTAAATAAATTTCCCAGAAGAGATGTATTTTCACTACTCCTCATAAAACATCTCTCCTGCAAGTTTATATGCATTTAAAAGTAATAAAACAGAAACACAAAAAAATGTTCACATTTCAGAAGTCTCATTGAGTGCTAAAATCTTTTTTTTTTTTTTTTCAGAACACCAAAAACATCTATGTTTCCTTTTAAAAGTCTCAAGGTCAGTGATTTTTAGCCTGGGTGAATAAACCTCTCGATCTTCAGCTAAAAGGCATTTAACAGTCAACCTCAACACGGGTCACTTTCTGACCTGAAGAGTGGGTTGTTTTCAGTTACTAAAACATCCCCTCAACTAACCTAACTGCAACGGAATCTGCTCGGACATACGGATCTGCTGCACAATCACAGCCTGCAGCAGATGTTCTTAAGTCCTTCAATAAAAGTACCTAGTGATAGACAAAAACCACTTAAAGGAAGGGGACATAGATTAATTATAAAAAAAGGTGACAAAAAAAGCTTTCTAAACAGCTAACTACAGGCTTTACACATACTCTGATCACCACTACACATCTTATACTTGTAACTATAAGCTTACGCCCAAATATTAAAGAGCTATACTAATAAATGTTACCTACCTGTTAACTTGATATGTCCTGCTTCATCAAGCAAAATGCTGAAAATTAAAATTCACATTCACCAACACACATAAAAAGGAATGTTTACATACAACATAAAATATAATAGTTAACGGCTTGGATCTCCTCTAACAAAAAATACATCTGTTGACTTAAATGCAATACTATTGGCTTGTTAAATGCTTATTTTTTTTTTTTTTCTTAATAAAATCTTACAAAACAAGAATTTAATTTTTTTAAAAATATATTTATAGTGGAAAATGCAAAGCAATAAGCAAAGTACATGTAATAGTGGTAAAATACATTTTACTTTACTTTTCTGGCTTCAGGTCCCTGTATACAATTCCCAAGCTGTGAAGGTGATCCAAAGCAAGGGCCAGTTCTGCGAGGTAGAATTTCACATCTTCCTCTGTAAACATAACCTAATAAGAACTGTATAGATTTACCTTCTGATCTTGTCTTCAGTTTTTTAAACTGTAATCTAAAAGAAAACATTTCTATCTGCCTAAATTTAAAAATAACTTTCACACGTACCTTATGCACTGACAATTCATGAATTCACCTAATAGAAACAATATGCAAGAGCGGGCTAATCATCAGGCATACAAAAGAACTAACCTTAATACCTAAAAACAAACAAAAATTTCTGCAGTTACTGCAGAACATTAACTTTTATGGTAATAAATTTAATTATTATATTTAGTCTTGCTGACCACCAGCGCTCCTTCTGGCACAATATCCTACACAGACTGTTAGCTATCACCACTTTCCAACGCGGCATAAAATTTGATATATAATTCCTTTTATTGTGGCCCTCTCGGTGGTTGACTGTCCCTGCGAATTCACGTTACCAATATTTAGGAAAAAAGGGACACAACATGAAACAGTGAAAACAGGCATACAAAAAGCAGCAGTGAGAACTGAAGGAATTCCTACTCTGCTCTTTTCAGGAAAAGAAATTCCAAGAACCTTGTGGGATATCCAAAAAACTGATTGACCTTGCATATAGGACGTTTTACAGAGCTGCATTTCTGTCCCATACCCAAAAGGTTGCTTTTAACTTTCATATACATGAATCATAACTGCTTTGGCTCATGTCAGGTTCTACAAATTATCCACATTACCAGAGAAGCTAATAACCTTTCCAATCTCAAATTAGAAACAAACAAACCAAAAAGCCCCACCACCACGCACACTGAATTGTTCCTTTTTTGTTGAAAACACCAGGAACATGAAGCAGAAACATCTCAACCGCACAGTAAATAGCTAAAAAGACTTTTCTATAAATTAAGGTAACTGGACTTAATGATTTAGTAATACATTGATTAGTACTTTGAATTGCACATAAACATGTAATCGTTTTTACTGGCAACAAGAAATATTCCCCGTTTCCATAACAAGAGGAATTAGTGCTGTGTGAACAACAAAGCTGTTATACAACAGCACAGAAAGTTTCCCCTTTATTTTATAGGGGCAAAGTTGACACTTTTTTTTATCTATATGCAAAAGAACAATGGGGAAAATTTGTACCGCATTAGTCCTTGAAATAGAAAAAATGCAAATCTCAAAATACAGAGATGCTAAATGGTGATCTGCAACCTTATAACAATAACTAACTACATTTAAAACTACCTTCTGTGACATACTGAACACAATATAAATCAACTTCATTAGATTCTACCAATGAAATGAAAACTTCATGAAGTATTCATTTCACTTCCACAGCTGAAACTCATGCCTACATTAAAATCTGAAGACCAACAAAAATGCTTTAATAACCTCATACCAAACCCATTTAATTTAAAACAGTCCGTGTGTGGTAAGTATAAAGTGCCATAAGGAATTTTCTTTCACATGTACTGCCCACCGACTATGCATTAACTTGTACTTCCAAAAAATTGCTTTTCTCCCTACTAACAAGTAAAAAGGCCCAATTTTTCCCTAGATATACTCAGTAAGGCTTTAAAGACCATCGCAGAAGCTATACGAAGTCTCCCAGAACACATGCAGAAATTTAACAGCAAGAACAACTGCACAATTATTGCTTCTTTATTCACAAAGGGAATACACACCTTTTCCAGCTACCTAGCTAGTACCATTACAGACAGACTTGCATCTCTTATTTAAGGATCTTGCATAGTCAGTAATCCTAAACGCATTATTGAAAAAGAATAGGTCCTGTTATACTAGAATTTCTCCTATACTTAGACATCCTATATCAAAGCAGGGATTGACCACTTCCATACATAATGTTTCAATAACCCTTTACAAGTTTGCCAGTTCCCTTAAGACAGCTCTTAGCCTCTATTTTAATAGCTCATAGTTAATGAATTCGAGCTCAATTATTAGAGGAGCACTGTTTTACTAAGGTCAGTAAAAAAAAAAAAGGGGGGGGGGGGGCAGGGCAAAAAAACCCACAATTTTTCCTTCCCTTTTGCCTGTCCCTGAAACGAACCTCGATTTTTTAAAACAGATATTTATGAAAAAACAAAACCTAGTTCACGTCTTACAGATATGGGGATATAACAGTCTCTTATGTCACAAACCAGTCAGGTACCCAGCTTTGCCATATTAGAAAATGTCCTTTTCTATGAAATATAAATGCACCTATACTGGCGAAAACACGGAAAGGCTCTCTTACAGTGAAGTTGTTGAAAAAGTACCATTAAAAATTTAGAGCTTTACGATATGTTTGCACAAAGAAAAAAGATTTATAAACACGTTCATAATATTTACACAAACATACACAGGAATGTTTTATGACAAATACAAAAAAAGGCTGCATTATAATCTCTGCCCTGAAGCTGCCTCCCCAGAAATTAAAAAGAGAAATGAAAAGTTACGGTTCCAGCAACATGCCAATACTAGGTAGGGGGGAAAAGAATGTCTTTAAAAGAGTCAATATTTTCACTTTGTGAGATTAATCATTAAGATTTATATTACAGCATTATGAAATTTTACAGTGTGGCAGAAATCTCTTATAAATACAGGCTTTCAGGATCACCTAAAATGACCGTGAGCTTTGTATTCCTCTGCTGTCTTTATGGCTAAGTCTTGATTTACTTCGGTTAAATTTCCAAGCAACAAAACATTTTTAGACAAAAGAACTGGTCTACTTAGATATTATAAAGGAAAAGCTTAGGCTACTTATCAATGCACATTGATTATATTTCTTACGGTTGTAGCCCATTATTCTAGCATATGTAAGAAAAGCACAGCTAAATTATTAAAAACTTAACTGCGACAAGAATTACAGGGGAAATAGCTAAAGAGAAGCAGCCTGTATTGACAAAAAACTCCAAACACCGAGTTGACATAAAATTTTAGGTACCTACCTCTTTGGATAATCGTGTGAACACATCTCCTCCCCTGAGAAAATCCAATATTAAATATAGCTTCCCTTCAGTCTGAAAGGCTTTTTAAAAAACACAAATCAATAGTTGTATATGACAATGATCTACAAAACAGATTCTGAATGCTCTGACAACTTGGAGATTCTAGCATAACAGAACACTTTGGTTTTGCAACTGAAATTATTCAGCTGCACGTGACAAACTTGCATGAATTAACTTTATCAATGATTACTTGCTTGCTGCTTCACAGAAGACAATTTTAGCCATAAGAGATCATTAAATATTGGTATTTCTCCTCTGTCAAAGAGGGAAACACCCTGATGTATGGTGAATTACTGTACTGTGGTTTTACTCAATGAAAAAGTAAAACACTCTGGAAAATTCTAACAAGCTTTGCACAAGATCTTTAAGTACAAAGTACCTAATCTACAAATTTTACACACACACACTTTCATTTACATTTGTTCTCAGTCATGTGATTTTAAAGTAGCCAGACCCTAATTTGGATACTAAGCTAGAACTACTAAAGTGAGAAAAAGATTTTCTTAATCAAATTTTGGATGCCATATTTGAACTGAGGGTTTGGATGTCTTCTTTGGTGGGTTTTTTTTTTTCACTTGAGAAAACTTTCACACAAAGTTGGAAGTCAGTCCATTAATTTATTGCAAATTCAATATATTTCAAGCTGATCACATTCTCATTTTTAAACAAGGGAAGCTATTAGCAAAGTTAAAGATCACCCCTCAAGTAGCTAGTCACTAGGTACCAATGTAAAAATTTTCTATCAACAGAGAATCAAGTTGTTGAAATGATGGGGCAGTTTGCTAATAGAAGGACTGTGAAGTAAGGAATAGACAGCTACAGATGCAGACTTCAAAAATCCAAATTAAAAGTGCCATAGAGCTCTCATACTACTTTGATATATACCTATTAAGAAAATAAATATTTATATTTTTCTCTGTCATTAAAGAATCTACACAGGCACTTTCACAGGGGCGTATAATCATTTTGGTAAGAACTTGATTTCATATTAACCACAAATGCTTTTACAATCCTTCAAAAACGTGGATAAAGTGTTCTTGCTATTCAGTGCACAGAGAACATGTTAAGTTAGCCTTTCACTGGAAGGAAGGAAGACCTGACTGGAACTCCATTTGAACAGAGGGGTATGCATGTATTAAAAATACTCCTATAGATCTGCAGGTAAACGCCACATACGTCTGCATCCTAGCAGCAAGATTCCCAGAGATAACACAAATGAAGTGTCAGGCTACTAGATCTATATAAAGGAAAAGAGTATGAAATAGGATTCCTGGCCCACTCTGAGTGTCTTTTGAAACTAACACTAAGGCTAATGTACAATTATAAAAGAAAAAAGGCAGGCACATTTAAACACTTCAGGCAAAAAAACAATGGCTCTGTTAAGCTCTGCAGAGGCTATTTCAGAAAAGCTGATAGACTTCTTTTAGTAAAGTCATTTCTGTAGTCGAGTGCCATCATGGCACAATTCATACAGCTTAGTGTAATAACATGCATTAGAAGCCAGCAATATCTAGTTGTCAGCATCCTGTTTTCTTATCCTGCATACGTTCTTTGTATTAACTATATGCAATCTTACTTAGTTGTACTTATTAAAAGCTATGGTTTAATGCACACCATTCCAATATCAAGAAGAAAATCAGCAACACCTTCAAAGAAATGAAAAAGACGGAAGCAAAAAAAAATAAATACCAACCATAGTGCAGTTTGACGATAAAGGGATGATTTACTTCTACTAATATATCTCTCTCCATTTTTGTACGAACTCTATCTCGAACTGAGGAAGAAAAAATAAGACTCGTATTAAACAAATGTATTAGGTATGATACAAATAGAGCAAAAAATATATAGAAAGTTTTAACTATCCACAGTAGTATTTTTTCTGCGTTACCTAATTTGTATTTAATTTTTACTTCTCCCACAAAATGTTTTCAGATAGCAAAATTATATTTTGTTCCTTACCTATCCCAGCTTTTTTATCATCTTCATTTTTTCAAAAAATCCCAATATTTTGTGATAAACCATATCTCTTTCAAATAACAGAAGTTCGCATCTACACATCTAGCCAGATAACTAACCTCTGAATTAACTATTTCTACTGAATATAGATATCCAGCCTTTTAAGATCACTTTTTCCTCTCCAACTAGGAACACGGCATGTTTTTACATAGTGCAGTTGCCTCCATTAAAATGCTTTCCAGAAGCCAAAAACATAGGTTAGCTTGCTATGGCTCCCATAACAAGAGTGAACGGCTTAGAATTTTAACTACAGAGCGCTAACCTAATAAAGATAAAAGGAAAATTGTTTATGAAATTAATTTGCTCTAGTATAATGAAAAAGGCTAAACAGAATTAAAGAATGCAATTTTAAACTTTGAAAGGGTACACTTTATCATATAATTAAACCGACATGACCAGATTTAAAATAATTCTTTTCTGGAACAATTTGTGTTTAAAAGTCTGGCGTCAATGAAAAACAATGAACTCATTAAGAAAAGAGATTTAAGATAGAAAACTTTTTAAAAAAAAGTATCTACAAAACTCATTTAAGAGATGCACGTGCCACTGAAAAGCTATTTTCTAAAGTTCTAATTAATAAGATATGCATACCTTTTAAAGAAGCTTTCTTCAAAACTTTCATTGCATAAAGTTGCCCAGCATCAGGACCAATTATTTTCCTTACAAGGAAGACCTAGCAATATAAATATCACATTTCTAATTACTGCTAAAAATATTTTACGGAAACACCAGAACACCCTGACAAAAAACACTCACACAAAACACATACTAGTACACCTTTACTACTAACTTCGCTAATACAGACAAAGGGATAGCATGCCCCCAGTCTCATCCCGTTCCCCCAAAACGCTGTAGAACGAGAAGACTGCCAACTAGTCACAGTAGGCCTTTTCCCATAAGCAAGCTTGGTAATGGGATAAGCAAGTATAACAAAGCACTTGCAGGCCTCCTGTTGGTTGTACACGGCTTTCAGTGTTTCAGAAAGAGCAAAACCGCATTCCCTTCTCTGCTAGTAATCGGATACAGTATCTGATACAGGTACCTACACCAGCAAGTTCTCTTACACAGTCAGATGGGTCATAAACAGTCTACACGTTCTTTTCTACAGTGAGCAGTTTTAAGAAAGTATTTATCAAACAAGTACTCACATACCATGTGTTTTTTCTATTATTTTCTTGGATAAAGACAACAGGACAAGTCTGCCTGAGTCTGTTACCACTCATACTAACAGACTTCCAGGGTTTAAGACCAGAATCTCAAATACACAACAGGTTATACTAATGAATTCTGTAACAGTGGTGAGACGGGAGCAAGGAAACCTCTCCATTTAAGATCAAAGTACCCTTCCCCTCTGGAGCAGCAACCCCAACAGGTTTGCCTACTCTCTTCTTTCCAGAAGAGTTGTAATGACAGACAGTAAATGATGTGACACTAAGAAAAACATAGCATTAGAAGGAATAATGCAGTAGGAACACATGCATCTCCACTGACTAGTATTCTAAATGCTACCTCTTTCACTTTACAAAACTTCCGGCATGAGTTTGTTTCTAAATTGTTATTAGAGTAACAATTATGAGAAGAGTTTTTGCAGTAAATATTACAAGCCAAAAGAGAATGCCAAGAGTTATTTGAAACTGTTCCTTTGATCTTATTTTTATTCAGATTTTCATTAATACTAGATTTATTTACATATATACTTCATTAGAAAATAAGTATCTAGAAACACACTTTTTTTTTTTTTTTTATTCAAAAGCTTTTCCACTCTAGAATTAGAACTTCATGCACTGCCACTAAGTTGTAAAGGGTCAGGGCAAAAAAGAAAAAAAAATATCACCGTGCTTCCTGGTAATCAGTTGTTTTGGTTCTGAATTTTGCCCAATCACTGATCTACAGCACTGCTCCTTTTATTGTAAAGGGAGCAAATCAAACGCCACAAAGGAAGAAAACGTGCAGATTAACATACTGACAATCTATTAGTCACTGATGAATTAAAACGTAGCTAGTAAAGTAAAACATCAAAAAAGCAAATATTTTGATGCGTAACAACTATCTGCTTGTAACAGTGCAAGGCATCCATGCACAAATTATGAATTCTAGCTAATAAGGATGTAAATAGCTGCCAATGAAAACCAGCATCAAGCAGCATCTATTTACTTTGCAGTCAAAGTCTCCATAATCCCACATCTGGCAGAGATGCAGTGGGTAATTGTTCAACCATTGACACGGAGCACATATTAAAGCACAACTGACACGGACACGCACTGGGCACGGTGATTGAGCTCAGCTAACGAAAGACCATCTTCAGCAGACTAAGCCCTAGAACGTTATCAAAGGCTGAACAAAGAAGCTAAACTAACAGACCAGAGGTCTAACACTACTTCATAGCAGTGAAGTAAAAATGGGTAGAGACAGGTTGTAGTACTACATAAGGTCAGAGGAAACAACGTGTTTGCTAAAAACCCAAAGGGACATCCTTGGGAAACATGAGCTGGAGAGAAAACAAACATCATGAAGGAAACAGCCACTGATCTGTATTGTTTGTTTGCTCTTTTAAACAGAAAACAGTAAATATTATATAAATACAGCTCTGCTCAGAAGTGCTGCAGTTATGGTCTGATCCTTAAGTCTGGTTCTTGAACCAGTACTGTCCGGTTTTCAACGCTCTGAAACCGACAGCTCACCGTGCTGGTGGGGTCCTGAGCAAGAGTGCTCCTTAAGCTGTTAGAGGTCTGAACTCTGTAAAGAAAGAATCACTTTCTCACTAAAGAATAAGATGTCTGTACCAGGCACGCTGTATCCTAACAGTCGGCTTAAGACACCTCAAGTCAGGAGTAACAAATGCATGGAGCCTTTTAGTCTCTGAGGACTAGAAGCATACGAGGGAGTCAGCCACCAACTTCAACAGATATAGAAGTATTTCTAAAACTGTATGATATTAAGAAAATCTTTTCAAGGCCATTTTTAACCTATTACTTATTCACAGAATGCCTAATACTAATTTTTCTTTCTCATACAATCATGTGCACAGATTTGTTCCTGCCACCAGAAAGACCAAACCAGCAGAAGAACAGATTAGACAATCGGCTTTATATAGTATTCCCAAAGAAAACAATTTTATAAGTGCTGCAAAGTTGACCTAGGGTGTTTTAAAAATTAAATGAGCTAGTTGTGTTATGATTAATATTTTAATTAGCGTTTCAAAACAGGGACTGAGACAGTTGATTGCTAATTTCACTTCTGAAATGTAGCACCAAGTAGCATGTTACAAAAAAGTAATTATCACAACAGAAAAAAGTCATGTATCTTCTGTAAACTATTTCAGTAATTTTTCACTTAGCGTCCTTAGCTGTAGATCACTTTCTAAATACAACAAAACAACACACCGAAATACATTTCCCAGGTTATTTACTTTATTGTTACTTTGGATAAGATGAAGCTACCACAATCACTCCCCTGTATCCACATCAATACAGTTTCCCTAAGTTGAAAAAAGAAGTCAAACATTCACACTGTGTCAAGTACAATAATTAAAAGAGAAACAGAGAAATCATCATCTCCTCCTGAAGTGCCTGTCCATGCTCATTATACAATTGGTGCTTCCTAAGCATCCATCTGAACTAAAGATGGAAGACTATCTACACAGAACAGATATTTTGGACATCAGACAAAAACAAAGTTTGTATCTTACCTTTCCAAAGGATCCCTGACCAAGAACCTTAAGTAGTTCAAACTGTGCTGGATCTGCTTTCTCACATCCTTCTCTCACATGATGAGTAATAGGAATTTCTTTCACACTTCCTTCATCCTATCAATATTATTTCAAAGCAAAAAAAACAATATACACAGTTGAACAACAATGAACAGTCCTGAATTATTCCATTCTTACTAGAAGTGCACGTCTTTTTCATTTAAACATTTGAAATGGTAATGAGGCCCCAAAAAAGCTGCTCACATGAAAACAAATTTCCATGCTTTTAATAGGTACACATCTAAAATTTCAAAACTGAAGTCAAACTCTCATCCAGCTGAATAATGCTCATTTCCTTTTGCCATAAATACTACAACTAAAATAAGCATGAGTTTTTCCTGTATGAAAGGAATAAACTCACAGATTTTTAAACTAAGCCTGAGATGATCTTTCGTTCTCCACCTTTATTTCACATGCCTTTTAAGTTTCCCAGTGACTATTTTCCTCATCTTTCCCTTGCCCAAACTATTCTTCATGAAAGCTAAACTGAATTTCATCATTTTAAGTAATTATTGCTTTTCACAGCAGCAAATAATGAATACGGTCATCCACTATTGTAGCTAAAGGAACATGCACCATTCCATTTGAAGAGAGTAAATAAGATATGAGCCATCTTAAGAACTCCAAGAATTCTTTCATCCAGTAGCAGAAACATAGCTCTGAGGTGCAGCACTCATGGAAAGGCAATCCTGTGTGAAGTCCTTCAGAAAGCTGAGTGCAGTTCTGAGGTAAGAGATTTAGGCTTCTGTTGACTATTGCCTGTTACTCTGTTTTGCCTGTTATCTTTCGCAAGATAGGGCACAGCAGCTACAATTATAAAAGCACAAACATCTATAATGAAAACAAATCAGATGATGTGTTGCAGCTGTGTAAGACTTATGGTGTAGGAAAAATTTCTGGGAGCCAAAACCACCAAGATGTCAAAACAAGCATCCTTACATGCTAAAGCCTACAACAGCAATAGCAACCTGAGCTTTAATGTGGAACAGGAATGCTATCCCTCTACCTTATTAAAAATATCAGTTTCTTTTGCAGAGCACATACAACCCAATGACAATCCTGCCTGATTTGCATTACTTCTATGTCTTTAAGGAATCCAGGTCACTACTGTCTTCTCCTTAGTTCTTCACCTCAAAATTCTCTTAGCAAACAGATAGCTCGGGGCAGGGGGACAAAACACCCCACAAACCTACAATGCATTGCTTTTTCTGAATGACAAGAACAGAACCCACCAGCCTTACCACTTGAAACAGCTTGTGCTAGGAGAGAACATCTTTTTATACTCAGGCTTGACATAAGATGGTTACTACCTAAGATCACGCATGAATGCTTCTGATCAGTTACCAGTCTTTACACAGGAGTACCTAGCTGAAAACCTCTTAACTGGCAAGCTACACAAAAAGTTAGAGTAGAACTGTGACTATCTAAATATGTATGCACTTACAGCAATAACGAAAAGGAAATTTAAAGTCTTTTGCTCATTGGGTTCAAAAGAGCATTTACCCATCTGATCTCCAACATTCATCTGCACACCTGAGCTCAGCTTCCTGCAAGCAACCCACTTGCACTGAATGGGAATGGGATCTTTTGGAAAAGCTTGGCAGTTATAACTAAGATAATGAGAAGACAGTAGTGCTCCTCATTCACACAGTGAATTAGTTTGTAGGTGTACTAGATATGAAAAAAGTCACTCCAAGGCATTTGGATTATCAGTGACCCAATGGCCCACAGGAGAATGGTTTCCAAGAGCTTTCTGACCAGCATTTAACATTTTGGTCAGGAGCCTGAGGGCTTCAAGACAGGGCAGGATGGCTGCAGTGACAGGCTTCACGATCATGAGCAGCTTTCACTTGCCGTATTTAGTGAGAGTAATAATTGATTCTGTATGGAGAGTATGCACTCAATTTTACATCACCAAGCTTACAGAATAGGGCAAGGGGAAACTCTTCACATTCTAGAAGAGCAAGCAGCACTACTGGGCAATCTTCACACTGCATTAGCTTCTTACATGTTAATAGCCTTGTTTGTCTAGAGGAGGAAGGAAAGAGTTCAAACTAACATCTCAATATATTCATAAACTGTAGTCCAGCTGTTACTGCACATTATTCTTTTGCCCGCCCCTACATTTATTTATCTTCTTTCCAAAAAAGCCTATTCCTTCTGCCTGATTCCCATGAAAAGGTAGATATTAACACAAGCAGCTGCCTGGATAACAAACTTTCTAATTCACACTCTAAACAACTGCTGTTATCTTACAGTAAAATATTTCATTACTGCCCTAAAAGGGCTTTCTGGCCATATAAGTCACTGAAACACTGCAACTGTCTGGACACAGATTTATCAGCCTGAAGGAGAGAAATGGGAAGGGAGGCAGATAGAGGGTGCAGGGAAGGGGGAGAGCATTCAAAATAAAGGGAATTTGAAAATAAAATCCTTCACAGTATTACAAAGATAGCAGCATTACCCCCTTTATATGATAAAGGTTCTTTATTGTAACATCAGCTGAAGCTTACAAACAGCACAGGTGGTGTTTGTTTCTGGCAAATGGCTTGAAAATTTTGAGTTCAGAATTAGTCAGAGATCTGCACACTCATAGTAAGATTAAATGGTAAGTGACCTGTTACAGACCCAGAGCAGAAGGATTGATATACTATCCAAATGGGAGCTCTAATTCTGATTACCTGGTTTGTAAAGGTTAAGGGTAACAGAAAAAGGAGATAGGGATTATCTACTTATCCATCAAAAAGTTATCATACTTATGCCGTTTCATAAAGATATAGTTTTCCACGAAAATTTCATTTCAGCAAAACATGCTATTTTGTCAAAGTCTGTGATGATGCATCAGTTTCTGAAAAAACTTTTTTTTTTTGAGGGTGCATAAGGAACAGAAAGAAATTGCAACTAAACTAATGTATTAACCTAGGTCCCAATCGGTATAAAGAATAGATTTAACTATTTCAGGTGAAGAGACCAGTGATAAACTGTTTAGGTATCCCTCTTTCCTTTCTCATGGGAGCTAATACTGCAGCTCCTAATAAAATTCTCTACACAGTTCATCCACTTCCTAATGTTTTGATGGGAAACAGTAGAAAATCTGCTTTATTTTTAAGCTACTTCATTTTGCCTCTTTGCTCACGAAAAAACAGCTGACAGACACCAATGAGACACAGTCTAAGTTCCAACTTCATTTCATCCATCCATTCATCCATCTGACTGTTATATGTAAGATACACATTGCCCTTCCAAATTTTTAACATGTATTCTAAGACAGGTGAAAATACTAGCATTTCAAATCATCTGATGACACATAGCAGTGATTCCTCTAGTTAAGACTGCTGTATAGCTCAGCATGTAACTGTTGATTCTTTCTATGAAATATGTAAATATTCTATTTAAGAAGCCTTTTTACTTCAACATCCTGATCTGTATTCCTCAACACTGTGAACCTCTGCATGAGAGGAGATCTTTAAGATTTTATCTGTTCTTCTATTTATCACCCACCTTGAATCATTAGCCTGTGACATCACATCTGGTTGCTGTGGAGACTGACAGAGTATTTCTAAATGTGAACTCAGGAGAAAAATGTTTTCCATGCTAATAAAGAATAACTTGAGATATGTACTAAATGAGGATTTTTTTTATAACAAGTTTTAGCTTTACAGAAGATGTTTATATAATTTCACCTACTTAACTACCATTGAATTGCTAGAAATTGGCATGACTGAGGTATAAAGAGATCTCAAGATCATCAACAAGCGATGAGCAGATAGTGTTGAATGGATATATATGCCAGTTTCATTTTACTTCTAGTTTAGTCTCCATAAATTGCAGATTTGGATATCTGATTTTGTGCACTGCTGCTTGAGCAGCAAGTCTATTTCAGGGCTCTGATACCAGCTCCCACTGAGTTACCTCGCAAAAGAGGCAACTATTCCCAGCAGATTAAACAGAAGGGAATAAAGCACTGAGAGAAATGCCACAATCACTTATGGCTTTTTGCCATCTTACCTAGTTGCAGCTTGACTGGTACGTAGCTCCAAGCACCTAACAAGCAAGCTCTGCAACATCCTTTTGGTTCAGGAACAGTGAAAGACTGAGACACCACTCGTTGCTCATCTTTCTCTGTCAGGTGGAAGGTGACTACCACGCTGAAGGCTTATTTACTTACTCCACAACATCAGGAAATAGACAAGCATTACAAATCTCTGTCCCGACGAGTTCACTTGCTGAATCGTTTACTTAAAAACTTATTATTGCAATATGTAGCAGTGGTCATAGCTAGTAAAAAGATCTACTTGATGCCTTCTTCCACGATTCCGTTCAAAATACATGGATATACGTGTTGAAAAACAATGATCAATTTTTCCATGCAAAGTCAGCCTCTTCATCACATGGAGAATTAGCCTGAAGTTTACTCTAAGATTTAGCCAGCATACAAAGTACTGCTCTTCAATATCTAAAAATATAAAAGTTTTCAAGGCACTGGACAAAAATCCATGCTTAACAGGGCTTACTTGGAGTATTTCTATATAAGAGTCAAACTAATATACTAGTGTAAAAATAACTTCTGTTCTAAACCAACAGAAACTGAGTACCTTCTACACGAATGTAGAGCAACTACACCAAAAAAGCAGTCATCTGCTCTTCCTTTGTAATATGAGCAACACTAAGCATACTGGTCCACCTAAATTTTACTATCAGTTTTGATCATAAATACCATTTTAGACATGAAATTAGAAAAAAATATTTTTACCATGGCCTTTAAACTGGAAGGCACATCCACATTCAGCAGTTCCCCATGTATTGTTCTTGTTTGTTTTGCGTTTCATAAAGTAAAGGTGACAACTCCTGAAGCAGGCAATTTGCACAAAGACATGCATCCTTCCTGAAAGCTATCCCCTAACCTACCTTTACAAAAAAGTGGCGGCTCTGAACACTGAAAGAAGTGAAAGCCACTCCTGCTACAGGAGCATCTCAACAGTGATGGGCTTTGGTGTCTAAAAGGTTCAAGGTTGGACTGAGCATTTTCCTGAGGTTGAAGAACCCATAAATATTCTTTCCAGCATAGAGACCACTTTATATAAAGCACCACCTCATGCCACAACCTTTTCCAAACAAGGCACTTAAGCTTTTGAAACTTAGCAGCTGAGTAGTAAGAAAAAAGTCATCTCTGAGACTTGGAGCCATTTCAAATCTAGTCAACTAAAATTATAGCTTCAAAAGTTATTGAAGAACAGGCAACACATACACTTTGCTTTGAAGCATAATCATGCTAATGAACTTCTAAAGTGAACATATATCAAATGTACCTACATGGTAGGAATATGGTTCACCTTCTTCCATGGGCTCATCTGCCATTTTAAGGCCATTCAGCTGGAGAAGGGAATGCGGAAGAGAAAAAAAGAAAAGAAAAAAAAGTAGCAACGTTAAGACCAAACAATTTCAAAGACACGTCAAAGTTCAAAATTTGACGGAATTGCATTATAAAGCACACCTATGAAAATTGGTGGGTTTTGTTGTTCTAACTTAAAGTCACAGTTTCAAACAAAAAATTACTATTTCTTTTAGCATACTCCTTTATAAAGGCTGTCCCATAGTGCTGGTTACTCGGAATTAATTTTAAATACTTTCTTTAAAAACTACACATGATTCATAAAGGATGACATTGACATAAATGCTTCCTTTACACACAAAAATTCCTGACATTTTTCAAAAACCTAAATTCAGCTGCTGAAAATTGATTTACAGTTTAAGGAGAAAAGATTCTAAAATGATTTCAAATTGTAGGGGGGTGGAGGGGAGGGGGAAGTGCAAGAGAGGAGAGAATGGAGAACACATACCACAATTCTTTTTATGCACAAAAATATTTGAGAATTGATTACCTACTTCCTATAACACTCATGCACATCTGAACAGAAGTAAAGGCCGTCTTCTTAATTAAGAGTGCCACAACACTTACAAGCAGTGGCCTGCCTCTCCTCCCATTTCAACCAACAGCAAAAAAGATGTGAAGCCCAGTCACAAAAAAACCTTAATTTATGAAGTTAAGTTCAAGCTCTCCTTAAGTAATAATTCAATGCAGTCTAACAACTGAAACTTTAAACATACAGAAATAAAAAGGATATGCCCTGTTTCAACACGCAAAGCATTAATTAAAAACTGGAAATACCTGATAAAAATGGGTGAAGCCAACTATGGATTTTGCTAGTGATAGCTGCTAATTTATATGCTAACTGCTCAGTATCTCCACCTTCTTGTGGCATAGATCCCACACAAGAAACGCCAAATAAAAATATCATGAGGAAACTCAAACTACTACTTTCCCTGGAACAAATAAAAGTTCAAGCAATAAGTTTTATAACCAGGCTGTAACATTTTCTCCTTTTACTTCTCAATTTATCTAATATATGGGCCAGTCTAAGATACTGAAACATGGCACCATCAGTACATTGAAAGGCCACACAGACCCTACTGAAAAACAAAAGAACAAAAAAAACCTCACACTACACACGCTTGACAAACTGGTAGGGCAGCAGGGACAGGTTTAGGACACCACAATTGCATCATCCAGGCAAACCCTCTACCACCTGCACCGCATCTTGTAGATGAACTTTTGATTTCAAGTAAACCTTGAGAGCTCAAGTCCTAAATAAACGCATTTAATAAAATTACATCTCCAACTTTTGTATCCAAATACTAGCACTTATTTTTGGACTATAACTTCACCTAAAAAAAAAAAAAGTAGTGTGAGATTTTGGTTACTTTCACTGCCTTCTAAGCTATTTATTTCTACTTTCCTCACAATCAAAAATCACTAACTCATTACCCTAGATTCAGAAACTTCACAAACACTACAGAAACCAGTATATTATTTAAGGCATAACTTTTTTTTTTTTTTGCATAAAGTTTTTCCAAGTTAGATACGTGAAAGGAGGGAAAACCCACCATTATGCTTGGTATTGTATGGATTAATTGAACATATCAAGACGCAATAACCCCAAAGTTCAGACCAAATGTAAACCCCAACCAACCTCATTTCTGACAGTTCAGTGACACATGATCTCTTTCACAGTATTACTAGATTACATTCAGGCATGAATTAATGTGGAAACCACCAACGTTTGTTCATAAAACAAACCACGTTTTGGGTCTGGTAAGGAAAAACCTTTCCACTCCGGATGTTCAGAAACAGGATACCATTTCTCTCGCAGACTTTATCAGATTTGTGCAGCATTAATTTGAAATGAATTCAGTATGTGCTTCACTTTCTTTCCTTTAAATATCACCAACATTTTCCAAGATTTGTTATTTAAAATTAAGATCTTGAATCCATATATACTAGCTGGTAGAACTGCCGACAAACCTACTGTTTTCAGTGTAACTCCAGGCAGTCAGATATAGAAAGCTGTCACTGCCTGAATGGGCTTTTGACTCAAATTCCAGCATGTTATTTGATCTACATTGTTTCCCAGCGTACAGCATAAGCATATTTTTAGCTTTCTGGCAAATCATATATAGTAAATTATTGGATTTTTATAGCAGATAATCAAACATCACTTAATTTCCTATCATACACTTTCCCCCTTCATTGTTTCTTGTTTTTTTCCTGTCTAGTCTCTTCGTAATTACAAAAATGGAGATGTCTGCCAATTTCTGGCCCCATAAATTCTGTGTTCAAGTGTGTAAACCTATTTTTATAGTCTGACATGGGAGACTATACTTTTGGCTCATTCATTTGTGAACCCTGGTCACCATTCACTAAATAAATTGTTGGACTGGAAGTCAAAACCTAGCAGTTTTAAGGAAACTACAAACTTATTATTCAGTTACAAAAATTCAATGGCAAAATCAAATCATTACTATTTTCTATAGTTATGTGTATTGGCCAAGTTTTAATAACTGGAAGTATCCATTCATATATTTTACAGAATATTAAAATTAATACTCAAGTCTTACCTTTATAGAAAGCAAACAAAATTTTGCTCTGCAGATGACTAGGACCGCTTTTGGTGATTTTTTTTCCAAACATTTATGCACAAACCTATACTCAGAACAGAACTATTTTAACTTCTAAGTAATAACTCATTAGATATCTATGAACACACAAGTTAAATTTCTTATTGAGAATAGAAAAATATGCATGTCTTTAGTGAGCAGGTGAAAGGAAATGAGTGCCTTTATTCTGAAAGATTCTTTCAAATTTAGCTGTTTAATACTTCTAATATTTAAAGTTTTCAGTTCATTGTAAAAGTTCAGTTTGCATTTTAAAGCTAACCTCAGACATTTAGGTAAGCTGCATCAACACTTTCCAAATACAATTTTTGAAAATTAACATATTTGCTAATTTATACTAATCAACAGTGTGGAAAATTACTACATAAAACATGAGAATAAAGTTGAAGTCAGAGACTATCCAGCAGGTAAAAAACACACCTTACTTTTCCAGAGATGCAGGTTAAAAGACCCAATCCTTCAACGCCAAACTGCCTCTGAGCTTACAGAGTGCAACCTGCCTTCTAATTTAAAGACACTGCTGCAGCTGCAATGGATCCCATGACTGGCTGGGACTCTACCATATTACCTTGAGCATGTTTTTCCCCTAAAACTTATGACAAAGCAAACAAAGTTATTACTAAAGGTAATAAATTTTTATTTAGTAAATTTATTTTTATTTATTTAGTATTACTAGAGGTATTACTAAAGATTAGAGGTTTTTTTTTTTTTTTAATATTAAGGATGCATCAATTTTTTACCTGGTAAACGCCTCATTGTTTGGTGGACCAAAATGTTTTGGCCGAAAGAAATGAGAAATGATCAAAATGCATAGTCGCAAGGAAAAACAGTAAAGGACTTCAAAGGGGTTCATTCTGCCCTGTTTTTACAAGTTGCCATTTGAACAGGATTTAAAGTTAAAAGGAAAAAACATACCTAGGGATTTTATAATCATAATATTATTAGAAGTAAGGAAGTAATATTTATCATCACTCATGATGAGAACCTAATTTGGCTTCAAAACAGGTAAAAATTCTACATGCAGATAAACAAAAGCTTCTTCATCCTCTAGGGGAAGTTCCTCCTTCAGTGCACTTAATTTGCTAAGTTAGCAAAACTAAAATCTCCAGACCTACAGCTCTCATTCTTCCAAAGGAAAAATGATACAAACCAGTTAGCTTCCTCAAATACCAAAGTATTCCTTCAGATACACTTTGGCATTTTGAAATGAGTAAGCTTATATTAGAAACTCAAATTATTTTGACAAGACTTTGAGAAAATGCTTTGACAAAAAATATATTGTTAAGAAAACTCCATTTGTTCCTCATTTGTTTTGAGCTACTTCTGTAGAGAGTTTACATAATTAATCAGTAGCATATTGACCTCCTGGATTTTATTTCCTGATATTTGTTTGGGCAAGTTTGGTTCTCTGCACACAGGCAAACAGGTGAGGATTTTTATTATTTTTAAATAACGTCCAGAAGTCACTGCAGGCATAACTGAAGCTTAAAAGAACTTGTTCTTGCTATAAGATATCCACGATTTCTCTCCATGCAACAGATTATTTTTTTTAAAACTACTGCCATCATACATGGGTGCCCAAGTTGGTTCAGTTCTCTCTATTATATGGCCTGCTTTCAGGAAGGTGCAATCTCCTGTAGTACACTGATGGACCATACGAGGTGAAAGATGAAGCAATGTTACTAGGGTGAGAAGACAGTGATATACCATTAAAGCTGATTTCCACTCTACATGAAGTGACTAGAAAATAAAAGTCACCTTCGGATTACAGTTCCCACTTGAGACTCCGGAGGCCTATGCTTAATGTTCTCATAAACTCACAGTACAACCCTATGCAAGTCGGACTCTTTAAGCCTCAGTTCCCCTCACAAAAAGGAGAGGCCACATAACTCATTTATACTCTTTAAATATATCAAGTACAAGAGGAAAATAAAGCCATCTATCCTACATTTAAAAAATGAGAAAGGAAAAAAAAGACTGAATTTTTTGAATGCCAACAACAAGCACTCACTGCTACTGTTTAAGCGCCTACACCTCTTTTCATTTATCAGAGAATTTAAAGTTCTTTTCCTGTGGTAAATGAAAGGTACAATTCAGATAGGACAGCAAACCTTCAGTAACATACAACCACTGATTTTAAAAGAATCACAGAATGGTTGAGGTTGGAAGGGACCTCTGGAGATCATCTAGTCCAACCCCTGTGCTCAAGCAGGGTCACCTACAACAGGCCGCCTAAGACCCTGTCCAGGCAGCTTTGGAATACCTCCAAGGATGGAGACTCCATAACCTCTCTGAGTAACTTGCTCCAGTGCTCTGTTACCCTTACAGTAAGGAATTTTTTCCTTATGTTCAAAAG